AGGTTGCCCGGCTGGCAGCCTCCCATCGATCTGACTCCGATCTGACCTCCGAATTCGCTCTGATCCATGAAGGCCGTCAGAACGGAAGTATCGTCCCTTTTATCGTAAAGGCGACACCTCTTATTTTCTACTTCACTTCCTCTAGGGTAACGCAGTACGGATTAATTTCTAATCATCTAAGGTAATGCATCCCAACCTTCTTTTCCTTTGCAGCGCGTTTCTTAAACGATCTAATTTCGAATTTAACATTAATCCAAGGATATCTTTATAACTAATGCTGAATTTCTGTAAATAATCGGAAAGTGTATAGTACACTTGAAATAATTCATTAAAGATTAAACTGTAATAAGAATTTTAAATTCTCAAGACTTTCAAAATGCATGGCTGCATGAGGATAATTTTAAGATAATGTTTTTATATTTGATAAATTTTATTTATGTTCATTTTTATAAATAAATATTTTTATTTTTTGTATTTTTGTATGAATACTGGTGAGGTTTTTGGCAGTTTTCCTTACCCGTGCAACAAATGTTGGTATTCTATGAGATTCTGCCAAAAATAAAATATTTTATTTTCGTTTGCATAAAAATGTGTTTTTAATTAATTATTTTATTACCCTCTTTCCTTTTTCAGCTTAGAATTTAATATATATATATATATATATATTTATTTATTTATTATCAAATTTATTTTCATCAGATATTAACTACGCATCGATAAATCACACGCAGAAATTTAATATTTATCCGATAGCATCTTCGTATCTCTCAGAATATTTCGGAACTAAATAAGAACATGACAGAAAAACGCTTTCGATCATTGGAAGAGAAAATGTTCTACTAGATAAGATCGCTAGATAAAATCGCGAATAAGTCTACAACTTACGATTTATAATTTGGTTATCGAAAAGTATCATTTATATTATCTCGCGGAATTGTATATTTCAAAATTTTAAAAAAGGTTTTAAAAATATTACTTATATAAATATATTCGTATTTTTCTTGAAAATGGCACCATTCGTAATCAATTCAAGGATGTTTAAATTGGAATAATGATCTCAAGAATGCGTAAATAGAGCAACAACGAGATTTCCTGTATTATATCCAAAGAAAAAATTTATTTAGAATGTCTATTTTTGCTCGATCTCAGAAGAATTGCTGCGCCGGACTACGATAATTTTACTCTCATGGCTTGTAAAGTATCGAACGCAGTGAGCCGCAGCGTCAGTCGATTAGCGAGGGATATAGTCTGGGTTTTGCTGGAATCGATTACGGAATCCCACGGTTCTCGTTTGCTATAGAAAACACTTTCATTTCAATCTCTTCGCGCTTTGACACGCGCACGTTAACGACTATTATTTAACTTTTCATAGAATTACTAATATTTACTATATATCTACAAGAATCGTAATATCAACGAAATAATAAGACAGTAAGTAAACGAGATCACCTCAATGATGTGTGCATTTATTAAAATATGGAAATTGATAAATTTTCGCGTTTCACAAATTCACCTCTCTTAATGAAAATGGCACTTTTTGCTTCTCTCTTGCGACTTAAAATACAATTTTGAATGTTAACTACCTCAATATAATTAAGCTTCAAATTAAAAAAAAAAAAATAGAATTTTATAAATTAAAAAGAGAAAATTATAGAATAAGATTTTATTATATTTTATATAATATAACTGCCATTTCGTAGAATTTAGATATCATTTAAATTTATATTAAAAATAGTTAAATTAAAACGCATTAAAATAAATTAAGAATAAATTTTATAAATATCTCCTAAAAATAAAATCTGTGCCATCTCGAAAAATTAAGCGAGAAAAATCTAGATGCACATGCGCAAGAACATTCATACGCTGATACACTTGCAAAAATAGACGCTAAATGCGCAATGGTGTTTTCTAAGTACGCAACAGCGTTTTGGCAACGGATCAGGTCATACAGTTCCTTTTTAGAATGATTCGAACATCGTTGCCAGTATTATTACGAAGTTGGCATAAATAAACGCTCTTTTTGTGCATTAAAAAGATATTATCGTTACATTATATCATTTTCGATACTGCAATCTGTGCTTTAGATACTTAAAGAAATGTTTTGTCTTGTAATTTATTCGTCAAGAAATATTCAGAATTTTTTCTTTTATTTTATTACCCCGAGAAATACTTAGAACACAATTTTGTAATTTTCTCACATATACATATATGAGTACAATAATGTACGAGAATGGCTTTATCATAAAATTATCAGAGACACGGTAATTATAAACGCGACCATGAAACTAATAAATTCGCGATATTTTTAAATGCGCTAAACAAATATGCGCGCAGCTGAGTAATTAGCATCGTGACGATAAAAGCCTGCACATTATGAAATCTATTTTTATTGCAAGAAGTTTCATTTTTGCATATAATAGTTTGACAAAATTGCTATTTTTTTTTAAACGATCTTCTAATTTCCTTACATTAATTTCAAGTTATAATTATGATTATAATTACAATTTCAAGTTATATATATATATATATATATATTGATATTATAATTATTTGTTTTTTAAATGTCACGTCTACGATTCGAGAAATGCAATCGTCAAGAGATCAAAGTTAAAAAAACACTGCGGGCTCGACAAGACCAAGTCTCTTCCTGCTTCACGTTACTTCACGCTAGTTTTGCACTTGGTCACTTTGTGCTATTCCATGTCTCTCGTTTTATCTTGTCAGGATTATTAAGTGCACTCGGGAGACAATCCCGAGGCGTCGTTCGAGCGAAACATCACTCGGTGCATTACGACGCTCCGTCGAAGTCTCGGCGAGGCTGACCCTGACCTATCCCACGTACAAATGTCGTAAAAGTCTCGTACGGGTTGCGAAAGTCAGCTTATAGAACCGATACATAGCGACGATCTGTCTGTCTCTCTCTCTCTCTAATTCTCTTTCCTTCCCGTTCTCGCAAACAGGAGGCGTTTACGCGCCATGTAAAACCCGACGAACTCGTGCGCTTGCATTCGCGAGACGGATAATTGTGGGTTTTCATCGGCATAGTCGAGCCGGGCGCATATTCATCGAGAATCTGCCCCGAGAGAGCGCGTGGTTTAATCTTAACATTTTCTCGAATATTCCAATAAGAAACGAGAACAATGTCTCGGTTCCGAGATCCGAGGAGATTAGATTTCAATCGGAATTCAATATGACGTAATATTTTTTTGACAATACCGAGGTGTCTCATCATAATTAAATTTCGCACCGATTCAAAGTTTAAGGATGTACTGCCTATACAATCCCAGACAAAAGTTACTTCAATTTGAAATTAATGAAATTCTATGCTTTTATGGGTTAAGATATGCACTATATGTGCTCGTATCGTGTAAAAAATTTAAATAATGCCAGTTAATATGATATTTGGCACTACAAATGAATATATTTGCACATTTTGCAAATTTTGTGATCGTCAGCAAAAAACTTTTGAAAGTGAATTTCACCTGAAATCAACTGTAAGAAGCGAAAAAACGTTGCGTATATTAGTAATATTTAATCAAAGTGCGTATTTTATAGCCCATTTTCGGAATTTCGCATTGCTTTTTCATTAATAACTCGATAACGAGTTAGTAAATCGATATCAACTTTTTTACAAACGTTGCTCAGTATTTTATTTACTCACAAAATTTTAGAATATTGGTGACGGTGCTTCCTTATAATTTCGTTTATATAAATGGGAATATGTTATTCCATAAAAACTCGTGCACAATTAAAAGTTGAATAATTCGTGAACCGGTTAGGGAATCGGCTTCAGGTTTTACACGTGTGTTCAGATAATAAATAGAAACTAATAAATAGAAAAAAATAAATACAAGCAATCTATAAAATTTTTAGAGTATTGCCAATATTAGAATGTTAGCACCAGTATATCCTTAAAGTGATTTTTGAGAGGTTTGACCTTGTTTCACAGGATATCCGAGATCTCTAATCAATGTAGATTCATCACTGTTGAAAAATTTGTGTTTTCTTGTTAAAAAATATACCGGTTAAAATTTTTGTGTTTATATTTAATACATTCATGTGTTAATTTAACATATTGATGCTGTATTAATTGAACTCAAATTAATTGATTATTAAAACAACTGAAGAAAAGTGTAAAAATAACACAATACACATATTTTTAATTTTAAACAATAAATATGTTCCGTGTTATTAATGACAGAATTTATCTGTAAATATTTACAGAAAAAAATGTTTATTTTATTCTATAATAAAAGTGAGACTGACTACAGATCGTCAATAACATTTTTTCAAGTTATAATTTTATCATTAAAAATATGTTGATTTTACACAAAATTTATTTCAAATTTCTATGAAGTTTATATGCTTATTTTGAGTTGAAATATTAACATAGTATTAGTGTCACCATTTAACATATCCATATTATGTTAAATTAACATAAAAATTTGTGTGAATCGTTTGGGACATGCGATATATGTACAGGGTGTGTAAAAAATGTCGACACCCCGGAATATGTCAAAAAATATGTTTTATAAAAAAATGTTTCAGATAAAAGTTGTAAGGTTTAAAAAGATCTATTTACTGATCTTATCGGTTTGACCTTGAGTGGCGTCGCCAAGGTCAGTGCAAGGTCATCTTGAATTTTTTAAATGAAACCCCCTATTTTTATTACATATTCTTATAGCCCTTCTTGAGACCTTCTTAAAACATTATAATGAAGTTCTTTTCCATTAAGTATTTTCCGAGTTATGAGGCTTGAAAGGTACAGTACCGCCAGCAGTACAGTATTACCCGAAAGTGATTTTTACCTAACCTCAACAATGCTATTTAAAGTCACACTAATATTGCTACTTAATGTGCCCCTTAATGAACCCTACTTTTATTTGGAACATTTTTCTCAAATCTCGAAAATAAAGCATTTTTGACGTTTATACACCCTATATGTTAGATTTAACACAAATTTTCCAACAATGTTCTATTCTTAACTAAAACCGACTTACCTTTTCAAGCTGGCGTGCTTCGCACCATTCAGGATCTTGTTCTTGCGCTCGCTGCCGGCGGTGCTGGCCTCGCTGTCGATGCTATAGAGGCTATCGTCCTTGGTGACTCTGTTGGCATTGTGCAGGGTCGACTTCCTCGTGGTATTGGTGACGGTGGCGATGGTGGTGCCGTTGTGCTTCGGACTCTCGATCGGTCGAGAGGCCGGATGAGGGGAAGAACCGTGCCGGGCGGTAGGATCGCCAGACGAATCCTCGATCCTGGTAGAGACGATCATCGTTCTAGTCGCGTCCGCGCAGTTCCTGGGCGATGTGGTGCTCACCACGGCAGTGCTCTTCTGCAGCTTGCCGGTCGGGCGATAATTGTTCTGCTGGCTGCTGGGTGGTGGCTTGTCCTCCGTCGGCAGCATGTACGACAGCATCGTCCCTTTTTCCTTCACCTGGGCGCGCGAAGGCAAACACACGGATACGGAAATTCAGTTACGATACAGCCGGGAGGAGGCTGGGAAGTCATTAACCGCGCGGCACGACGGTGAGAAAAATACGAAGCGACACAAAAGAGATCAATCGAGGGTCGTCAGAGGCGGATAGAAAAAGTATACCGTTCGCGGTAATAAGAGCATGACGGCAAACCGGTTGATTAATGCTCTGTGAGAGAGACGCAATTAGATAGTTAATAATATGCTACTCGAAACAACACTGGGAGAAAGATTTGGACAATGCTTTGAATCAAACGCCAACGATCGAAAATACTGTATTTATACACAAAGTGTTCAGGAGGAAAGGTCAATATTCTGGAAAGTGATGATATCGGTCATTTTAAGCAAAAATGTTCACATAAACGAGTGTCCTATTTCAAACGGTCTCCGAGATAGAGCTGTTAGAATGTACAGTTGCAATATTACTGATAAGAAAGAGATACTATATATTGTTTTTAATTTATTGCTCGAGTGTCACATTTTTTATTTATTATTTATTATTATTTATTTATTTTTTGTTTTTTTTTGTTTTTTTATTTATTTTTATGGGAATAAGGCACTCGTTCATATAAACATCTTTGCTTAAAATAATCGATACCATCACCTCCCAGAATATTGACCTTTCCTTCTAGGACACCCTGTATATAAATGTATCTATTTCAAATCGATCTTGAATATTACTAGAAATTCTTAAAGCGTCAAATATCTGTGGATGTGATAGATTTAAAAAAAAAAAAAACAGAATAATTATGTAATTGAGTGTATATTTCAAAGAAGAATTATTTCACTAACCAAATTAATTCTACAAAAGTTCTTTAGAAACATCTTAATAACATTGAAACAAAGAAGAACTACATTACAAAAAAAAATTCAGCTTTAGATTCGGTGAACAATAATAAAAAAGGGGAAATTTTCAGCATTATTCGCACTTCAATTTTCACACCTTGGTAATCTGATAAATCAGGAAGAAATACTGTTGTGAGAAATTTAATCGAAAACGTCGAGCTGTATACAGGGTGTCTACAAAAAAATCTTGTAAAAAAATTCCCTGTTTTTCCAGGTATTTTTGTTCAAAATTCCAGCTAATAAGAATATTTAAAATTTTTTGCTGCAATTTCCTAAAATAAGTTTTTTATTGTACACGTTTTTTAATGCTTTACATTTACACGAAGGAAAAACACAAAGCCACTTAAGTTTCATGTCTTAGATTTACAAATGTACTGAAAAAAACTGAATAGTTCTCGTTATGATACAAAATATTTAACTTGCATAACCTTTTCCATTTTTTATAACTAAAAATTAAAGTAAAGAATATGTACTGCGTATTCAATATCTTGTTAAGACATTGAATATATATAAACAGAGATAGATATATATTTTAAATATATTTTAAACTTATAATTCACAAATTGTCTTATTAGCGAATTGTCTACTGCTTACAATATAAAAGCAAAATTATCAAAAAGAAAATTTTCAAAAAAAAATTCCCTAAGTCCTAATAAAATTCCCTGATTTCTCCAGATACAAAAAAAAATCCCTAAGAATTCCAGATTTCCATGTTTTTTCAGGGAGTAGACACCCTGTACATAATATCGAATCGAGACACTCGGATTTCATTGAGCGTACAACGACGAGAAGAGCGAACAATGGCGAGTATTGTTCCTGGAGAGTATTAAAAGGATTAAGCCAACGCGATTCGATATCTGGTCGAAGGATTTTACGAAGTCACGCGTGTCGCGGCGTCTCTAGTCTGCGCTATTATTAGCCCGATAAGTCAACCATCTCCTGTCAAACCGGCATATCCTTGTCGCGTCGGTCGCGAGAGTCTTTTCCGGACGAGCGTCATCATTATCATCATCATCATCATCATCGTGGTCAGCGAGTAACTGTATCGGATCCGCCCGCTATGACGTTACACAAACACTCGCGATCAATCGAAACGAGAGCGCACGCGAACGAAACGATCCGCTTTAAATGCGTTTACATAGTCACTGACTGACATAGACCCGACGTCGTGTTCCTATCTTTAGGCGCCGCCGCGTCTTTGACAACAAAGCTCGCTCGCGATATCGGACGTAAAAACATAGGAGAACATTGAATTGGGTGAAACCGGGCATTTAACAGCAACGCAAAGCTCGTAAACGTAAAAGTCGTCGCATAAAGAATAAAGTTGATGAAGATTCGCCGTAATCGCGAAGTTAACTAACTGTGAGTTGAAGAACAGCAGCGAGTATGAATGAAAAATGTTAAAAAATGTAAATATATGATAAGATAATCAAAAAAATATATTATGCAGCAGATGTCAACATTAAATCTCTGATCAATAAACGGAGAAAAATTTCGAATTTCCTTGATTAAAGCAAAAAGCGCAAAAATGATGCACGAGAAAACTTGGAAAGCACAGATGTTGATCGAGAATATTACCCAACGTACAGATAGTTTACATCAGACACGAAGAAATGAGAACGTCACCGTCCGAAAATTCAAATCTCAAAATGCGTGAAAATCTCAAAAAGTATCGCGACGTGTCACCCGGATATCGACGCGACGTTTATCACTCACTAGAGATGTAAATAGAAAAAAACAAAATGTTTTTTTCCATAAAAAATGTTTTTTTATGAAAAAAAAGAACCTCATTTTTTTCAAATTTTTTTTTCTTTTTTTCAGATATTTAATATCTATATATTTTAATTACTGCAAATTTTTCATTATTTTTAACTTTTTAAATGATAAATTTAAATTAACCATTATTATTTTAAATGTAACTCACATTCAATTGGCTATATAGTTATGTAATCCCAATTTTTAATTAGGTAAAAAAAATTCGAAAAAATATTGATTAAAAATATAAGATCATTTTTTTATATTATGTTAATAAAAAAATATAAAGAAAAACATCTCTATCACTCACACATGCATTCTTAGAAAATTTGTGTTTTCTTGTTAAAAAAATATGCCGGTTAAAATTTTCGTGTTAAATATTTAACACATTCATGTGTTAATTTAACATATTACTGTTGTTAACTCAAATGTTAAATTATCAAAACGACTACAAAAAGTATGAAAATAACACAATGTGCACATATTTTTAATTTTACACCATAGATATGTTCCGTATTATTAGCGACAGGATTTATCTGTTAAAATGTATACAGAAAAAAATGTTGATTTTATTCTATAATAGGAATGAGAGTAACTACAAACCGTCAATAACATTTTTCCAAGTTAATTTTATCATAAAAAATATCTTGATTTTACACAAAATTAGTTTCAAATTGTTATAAAATTTGCATTCATTTTGTGTATTGAAATATTCACATAGTATTATTGTCACCATTTAACATATCCATATTATATTAAATTAACACAAAAATCTGCGAATTGTTTGGGACATGCGATATATGTTAAATTTAATACAAATTTTCCAACAGTGTGAGAGTTTCACGGAGCGATTATCTCTCTCTCTCTCTCTCTCTCTCTCTCTCTCTCTCTCGCGCGCGCGCGCGCGCGCGCGGCTTCGAGTCGCAAGCTCGGTTTCACCCTCATACGCGCCGGTCACGCGTGTTTCTCACGCGCGCGATTTCACGCGTCGACTCATTAGCATGCGTACAACGCAAGCTCGAATCTCGCCACTACGAGCTTCTCATTCACGTCCGGCGTCTGCGCATTCATACCGAGTCGCACACTCGCAATCGCGTTTAACGAACTGCTCGGACCTCGACCAATTGGCATACAATTCGCGCGTTCGTGCAGATAAATTATTCTGGCCCGTCAACCACCCCCGATGACAGGGCGCGCGTCGTCTTTATATCTAACGGAGAATCGAGATTACCATGTCTCGCGATATGTAATGTCTCACAAGAGTAACTTATAATAACGTCGATTATGAATATCGTGTCACTTTGATCGCGCGAGTAAAACTTATCCGACGCGGAGGAGAGGTTCGCCAGAGTAGAACGCCGAGCTGCAACTGAGCACGACGCAAAAGCGAGGCAAAGGTTACAGGCAGACACGGCCGACTATAGCTATACCTACTCTACTCCAACTCCGTTCTAGCCGTTCGCTTCCGTTCTAGACGCTTCATGCCATCCGTCGTGGCTCCAGCCACCGCCGCGTGTATATCAATTCGGAGTTCTCGTATCGTCCTCCCGAGGCGCCATGCATCTTTCCACTCATACAAAAGAAAAATAAATCACTTAAATTTTAAATATTAAATTTAAAGATGTACTGAAAAGAACTGAATGACTTTTGTAAGATAGGCATTTTTCATTTACATAATATTTTCATTTTCTATCATTAATTATAAGAATTACAATAAAAGATATGTACTCAGTATTGTGTGTTCAGTATGACAAATGAACATATAATCAAAGAGAGAAAGATATATATTTATAATATATTTGAAACATATAATTCACAATCAATGGCCAATCAGATTGCCGATGCTTGCGATATAAGAACAAAATGATCAAAGAAAGAATTTTTGAAAAAATTCTCTGAGTTTGAATAAAATTCCATAGAAATTCCCTGATTTTTCAAGGTAAAAACGAAATTCCTAAGAATTCCAGATTTTCTAGGTTTTTTCAAAGAGTAGACACTCTGCCTAACTCTCCTCCTGCCAAACGCGAATTCGGATTTCTAACCGTTTGAAATAGTGATTTTCCATTCCGATATACGAGCAAGCCGGTCGTTAATGTTGCATCGAGGGCAGCAGGTTGCAAGTTTTTACGGCTATGCAGGCGCGCGAAAGTGGATCGATTGCGCAAAAAGCGGTAAATTGGGAATTGCCATGATTGCCGATGGGTAATCGTGTCGATTGCTGGACCATTTTTGAGCGCTCCTAATTGCTTTCTCCGGGAGAAGTACTTTCTCCATAGTTTTCATTGAACGCACATTTAACGATAAAATTTCCTGTTACATAATGTCTCCCTTTAAAAATAAAATTTCAATTAAATATGTATTATATATATATATATATATATATTTATTTATTTATTATCAAATTTATTTTCATCAGATATTAACTACGCATCGATAAATCACACGCAGAAATTTAATATTTATCCGATAGCATCTTCGTATCTCTCAGAATATTTCGGAACTAAATAAGAACATGACAGAAAAACGCTTTCGATCATTGGAAGAGAAAATGTTCTACTAGATAAGATCGCTAGATAAAATCGCGAATAAGTCTACAACTTACGATTTATAATTTGGTTATCGAAAAGTATCATTTATATTATCTCGCGGAATTGTATATTTCAAAATTTTAAAAAAGGTTTTAAAAATATTACTTATATAAATATATTA